AGTCCATGAAGTTGCTTACTTTCCAAAGACTTGGGCCCTACAATTCCTGCAAGGGTCAAAATTCCCAGAAGCTGCCTACAATGTGGAAGATTTCATCCCTTTAGGACTTCTTAAGGAAAGTCTCTACTGATGAGATAGTCCCTTAGTTTTTGTTTAACTCAGGATGTCTTAATTTACTCTTCGTATTTGAAAGACATTTTTGCTGGGTATAGAATTAGAGATTGGCCTGTCATTTTATCTCTGAGAACTTTGAAAAAAGTGTACTCTGCACTCTGGCTTCTGTGGTATTTATCACAAAATCTACCATCATTTGTGTTGTTCCTCCCCTGAACATAATGTGTCTTTTTCCTCTGGTGCTTTTAAGGTTTTCTTTTCACCTCTGGTTTTCAGCAGTTTGATCAAGATGTGCCTTGCTGGGATTTTCTTTGTATTAAGCCTGCCTGCAATTTGTTGAGTTTATCGAATGTGTGGTTTATACCTTTCATCAATTTTGGAAATTTTTCTGCCACTATTTCTTCAAATTCAAATCCCGTCCCTTTCTCACGTCTCTTCTTCTGAAATACTAATCACATTTGTTAAACGTTTTGACTTTGTCTCACATCTTCCCTATATTCTTTCCTGTTATTTTTCTTCCCATTCATTTTTAGTCCATTAAATTTAATGTAATTATTGTTATGGTTGGATTTATCTCTGCCATTTTGTTACTTGTTTTCTATTTATCTTTTTGTTATTTTTTTTGTTCTCTGTTCCTCCTTCATTGCCCTCTTTTGTGTTAAATACATTTTTAGTGTATCATTTTAATTCCTCTGTTTTTTTTTAAAAAACTGTATTATTTGAGTTACTTGCTTAGTGGATACCTTGGGGATTATAATATGAATTTTAATTTATCACAATTTACTTCAGAATAATATTTAATTCCAATAAAATATAAAAACTCTTTTCCAATATATTTCCTTTTTTCTCTCCCCTCCTGTCTGCTATTATTATTACATATATTGCAACGATATATGTTATAAGCCAAAAAACACAGTGTTGTAATTATACTTTTATGCAAATTTACGTCTTTTTAAAAGTTAAGAGTAGAAATTAGAAAAAATATATTTATACAGTCTTTTAAATGTAACTACCTAATTGCAATTTCTGACATCCTTCCTTTTTCCCTATAGATTTGAGTTACTCCCTTTTAGCCTGAAGGAGTTCCTTTAATATTTCTTATAAGGCAGGTCTGCTAGCAATAAATTCTCTCACCTTTATCTGGCAATGTCTTTATTTTCTCTTAATTTTTGAAGGATAGTTTTTCTGGATAAAGAATTCTCAGTTGATACGTGCTTTTTTTTTTTTTCTTTTTTCTTTTAGCTCTTTGAGTATGTCATCCCACTGTTTTCCTGCCTCCATCATTTCTGACAAGAAGTCAGCCATTAATCATACTGTTCCCTGTATGTGATGTGTCGATGTTCTCTTTCTGCATTTAAGGGGCCAGACCACAAGGGTCTAGAGGAGTGGGATGCTATTGAATTAAAACCATAGGCTCTGGTGCTGGATTTCTTGGATTCAGATCCTGATGCTATGGCCTAACAGCTGTGTGCCCTTAAACAAAGCCTTAACCACTCTAATCAAGTCCTTACTTACCTGCAGCTGTAAGGGATGAGGACGATGAGCCGTGTTTAAGTGCCTAGTACACAGTAAGTGCTCAGTAGATGTCAGCTGCTTGTATGGGCTCTGTTAAGGATTATGGTCTTTGTCCCATGAGTAATGCAGAATGCATTAACTAGGACCTTCTTGATTATAAGGGACAGCAACCCAACTCACATTGGCTTAAGCCACAATAGGGGATTTATTGGCTCATATAACTGAAAGATATAGATTTATCTTAATCTGAACTGTTTGCAGGAAATGTGTCCCTGGAACAGCATCTGTCAGGCCCAATCCCTCCCTTAAGAGTTAAAGACCCCTTGAAGTCCTTGGGCAGTGAGGTGGTCAGCACCAGTAGGCTGGGGACATGCAATGAACGTTGGTCAAACTGACGAAGTTCCAGCCCCCAGGAGCTGACGGTGCAGCTACGGTGAGACAGGAGTATGAGTGATATGAATGTTGCCTGGGCAGACGGCCAAAACTCAGCACAGAGTGGTGTGGCCAGGCAGCAGAGGCTATAGGGGCTCAGAGAAGGGGGTTTCATTCAGGGCTGGCATAATTTGGGTGGCTTCCTGCAAGCAGAACTGAAGTGGCATCATCAGTGTGCCAGACAAAAGGAAGATGATGACCAAGACCAGATGTAGGTGCAAGTCTAGGTGTAGAGTGTCCCAATCAACCCTAAAGCAGATGGGTCCCTAAGAACTTTCTAAATTAGACTAGGGCACCAGGGCCCCCTGGGCCTCCTGGACATCCCAAGGTCTTCAAGTGAGGGCTGGCCCCCAGCCTTCCCCATCATCTGAGGAAGAGCAAGCTGCTCCCTCCAGAGGGCCCCTCAGCGCCCTGCCCTCAGCTGGCCCCCTCACTAAGGCAGGGAGCTGGCAGGAAGCATGGGCAACACACAGAATGCTGCCTGCCACAAGAGGCCCTGGGGGACCCTGGGGGAGGAGTGCATGCATGCCAGGCAAATGGTCCCTGGGAGGAGAACTGGAGGTGGCTAGAGAGGGCCTGGCCAGGCATTTCATGGGCCAGGCAAGTATGGGGCTTGGGGGCTCATCTGCCTGCTTCCCTCTTCGGCTCTGGGGAAGAAATAGGTGTGATGGGGCCCACAGCCCAGCCTCAGTGGACCTGGGCTGGCCCCAGAGCTGGCAGGCCCCAAGCTAGTGAGCCAGCAGGGAGTCAGCATCCCTTCCATTAGGCCCATGGCTGGGCTGCTGCTGATCGTACGCTCTGCTCTCAGCCCTTCTATTCACTTAGGCGTCGTTAATATTTTACGCTGCAGAGCTAAGGGATCAATGCCTCATTTATAGCTCAGTATTTACGAGCAGTCCTGGAAGCTTTCACAGGGAAGATATGCAGGAGCACCAGGGGAAACTGAGGCAGGAAGTGGGGTGGGTAGCCTCAGGGGGACCCCAGGGTGGCTTCCTGTGCCTGCTCCTTCTCTGTCCCCCATCTATCTCACATCTGGCACCATGGACACACCCAGCTCTGAGGACGCATGGTAAAGGGTCGTGAGAGTCCCCACGGGATACGTGGGAGGCTCTTTACCCTTGAGCCTTCCACACACTTCCATAACCCACCTGGTCTAGCAGAGCCGAGATCTCTGCCATCTGAGCATCTCTGCTCAGAACTCTGCCTCTGGTCAGTGCAGACTCCCCACATCCCTCTTAAATGGAATTGAAAGCTATACATTTACAGTTCTTTAAAACTATCTCCAACAACTCAGACTTTTAAATAGTGAGGTTGAACTGCGCAGGCCCGAAAAAAAAGGCCCAGTGTAGCCTCTTTCCTTTCAGCGTCCACAAAAGCAGTGCGGTGCCCTTGGGCGCATCTGCTCTGGACCCAAGCAAGGCCTGGCTGCACCTGGGCCCCTTCTGTGACCCACTCTCTAGTACCCTCCTTCTTCACTTGTAAAATGGGGGAAGAGAAATGCTCATGCGGGGAGCCCTAAAGGATGACAAGGAACCCTAACGGATTGGCTCCTATCTGTCAGCTCCAGAAGGGCCCTCAGCTCGTAGCTGCGGTTTCCCATCGCACCCAGCACCGAGCTCTGTGCTTGGAGCAGCACCAGCTCAGGATTTGTTGAATGAATGAATGAATGCTATTGTTCAGGGCCCAGGTTCAGGGCTCTGACTCACAAGCATGGAGTGGGGCTGGGATCCCCACCACTAAGGCACCCGGAGGACAGAACTTGGTGTCGCAGGCTAGCGCGCATCCTCTAAGTCCTGGCTGGTGCGCAGCGCCGGCTAAGGGGAGCAGAGTCGCGGTTCACGCCCTCTCGTCCCGGAGTCTACCGGCTCGCAGAATCCCGGTCTCCGCCCTGCCGCGCCCTTCCTCTCCCCTTCTTTTCTCCTTCTTTCCGCGGCTTTCCTTCCCTACCCAGTGGCCCCCGGGCAGGAAGGAGGCGATCCTCAAACTAATTAGAACTCTCCGGCTGCCCGCGCAGAGCGCTTGGCATCCGCTTAGCTCTTTCCCACAGCCGGAAAGGCTGGCCTCAGCTCCTCCCTCTGGAGGAGAAGGCTGCACATCAGCGACTCCTCCAAGGTCACGCAGCTAAAGCAGAACTTGAACTGAGCTCCCCGGACTCTAATGCCAAAGCCCACACGCCCTCCTAAAGCCTCGAGCGCACAGGGGTTTCCAAAACTGAAAAACTTTGGAGATCAGGACTAAGTGCAATCTCCCGCCGAGGGCTGGGTTTCGGGGAAACACTTGGAAGACCATCTCTACGCGGGCGGCGGGGCGGGAGGGGCTGCGGCCAGGCTCTGCACTCTCAGCCAAGAGAGGGGAGCCCCGACTCCGCGGGGAACAATGCCGCGCCTCCTCCTGCCCTGCCCCCACCCCGCACGCGCGGTTCAGTGAAACCGCCGACCACGCGGCC